TACATACAATAGTCAGTAGTATCTACTACACACCCTACATACAATAGAGTCAGCAGTATCTACTACACACACTACACACTATAGAGTCAGCAGTATCTACTAGACACCCTACATACTATAGAGTCAGTAGTATCTACTACACACCCTACATACTATAGAGTCAGTAGTATCTACTACATACACTACACACTATAGAGTCAGTAGTATCTACTAGACACCCTACATACTATAGAGTCAGTAATATCTACTACACACCCTACATACAATAGAGTCAGTAGTATCTACTACACACACTACACACTATAGAGTCAGTAGTATCTACTGCACACACTACACACTATAGAGTCAGTAGTATCTACTAGACACCCTACATACAATAGAGTCAGTAATATCTACTACACACCCTACATACCATAGAGTCAGTAATATCTACTACACACCCTACATACAATAGAGTCAGTAGTATCTACTACACACACTACACACTATAGAGTCAGTAGTATCTACTAGACACCCTACATACTATAGAGTCCATATTTATTTTGTAGGCAGGAGCTAGGTAAAACAATGGCGTGGATGAGACTACGTTCTAAGACACGGTTCTGGAGATTGTAATTGCTTATGTGATGATAGCTCCTTCAACCAAGAGGCATCACCTACTTGCAACGTGCATCACAAAACATCGAGACATCCACAACTGCTGAGTGGGAATATGAATGTGAACACTACTGCTTATGGGACAGTTTAAAAAATATATAGTTTTGAAGATAAAATACAGTAATTAGTTCCACAAGTTTGTTTGAACATAATTTTGTTTAATTGGTAAGATAAGTAGGAAAAAATTACGAGATTAGTGACAATGTGTCTGTGTGTCCACGTGTGTCTTTGTGTGTGTCCGTGTCTGTCTGCATCACTGTGTCTGTGTCTGCCTGCATGTCTGTGTGTGTGCGTGTCTCCATGTCTCTCTCTGTCTGTCTGCATGCATGTGTGTGTGCGTGTCTCCGCGTGTCTCCGTGTGTCCCCGTGTCTGTCTCTGTCTGCATGTCTGTGTGTGTGCGTGTCTCCATGTGTCTCCGTATCGGTCTCTGTCTGCATGTCTGTGTGTGAGCTTGTCTGCGTGTGTCTCCGTGTCTGTCTCTGTCTGCATGTCTGTGTGTGTGCGTGTCTGCGTGTGTCTCCGTGTCTGTCTCTGTCTGCATATCTGTGCGTGTGCGTGTCTGCGTGTCTCCGTGTCTTTCTCTGTCTGCATGTCTGTGTGTGTGCGTGTCTCCGTGTCTCACCTGTCTGCATGTCTGTGTGTGTGCGTGTCTGCGTGTGTCTCCGTGTCTCTCTCTGTCTGCATGTTTGTGTGTGTCTCCATGGTTGTCTATCTCTACAGCAGTAGTGTGGCGGTCAGTGCTACGAACCTGGCAACGCGAGTTCGATTCCCGCTCATGGCCAACACCAGTGATGATTAATTATTTTAACCGGTCCGGGGACTCCCCTCGGTCGACTCAACCTCAAATGAGTATCTGGTGCGGTGTCTAAACATCACCACTAGGGAGACAAAGGCGGTCGGGTGTGGTGCTAGCCACCCACCCCCTCAGTGTACCGTTCCGGCCTTTAAAGATGCTTGCTAACAGCACTTGCCCCAACAGTCTGTAAGGCTACACGGGGGGTCTTTGTCTTTTTTGTGTCTCTATCTCCATACATGAATCTCCATTTCTGGGGCTCCTCCTTGTGTCTCTCAGACAGAAACAAGCAGGAGACAGACAGACGCGGAGACACAGAAAGATATAGCTGTAAGTGCTCTTGATGGTCACGCTAATTTAATGGTCGGTTACTTTATTTGCATTTATTGTAAATAAGTGACAATATACAACCTGGACAGAAAACAAGTAAATTGCTCCAAATTAAAGTTATGCAAAAACATAAAACGTAAAAATTGACAACCATTTTTCGTGTGGTGAGTGCTGTGTGCAAATTACAATGTTTTTATTCTGTATTCCTCCTCTGTTATCATGTTTCCCTGGCCGAGATGCATTTACATTCACGGCAAACCTGAACAAACCTGAGCCAAACAAAGAAGACGATAACAAAAATGTAGAATTTCAGCCACATTCTCGCTCAGCTATAAAAAACACTAGCCTCTCAGACAAGTACGCATACTTGGTGTTTGTTATTTGCATATGGGATTGAGAATGCATTTCAGTGTGGAGATAAATTACATTCAACCTTGTCTACAAATAATGACCTGTGTATGAACAAGTGACACACTTTTAGCTTTTTTCAACAAACAGCAGGACATTCACATTTAATTGAGAAATCACAAAATTGGGAACTTAAAGTCTGAATAAATCTGCTAAGATCCTGAGTTGGATTCCAGGCAGCCACCCGTGATTAAACCGAGGTCTCAAGTGCTGCGAGTTCCTCTTAGCCAAGCCACCAACGACTGCATAAATAACCCGGAACATGAAATGTGGTTCTGCATTCAATTTTGGATAAACTCCAGCTTTGAGAGTATAACATTTATATCGGTTTGACTGTCCTACGATAAACATTCCTCTCAGTGGCAAGGCTAGTGAGGAAGGTGTTGCCCTCTACTGTGTGTGGACCAGGGGTCGCTTGAAGGGGTCTCAAGAAGTAACTCCGTGATATCCACTTCTGTGGGTCATTCTCTGAAACAAAAATGGTTGCACTGCTCTGCGAGCGATCCGATTGGACACTTCGACTCGTGACGTGATGCCAACGCCCAATAGGGATGAAAACTGAGAAAGATAACAAAATATTAACTGAAATATCGTAATTGATAAATGTGATGACAAATTGAGATGCCAAACAAACCTTTTCTGTACCACACGGTGTCATGTGCTCCTTAAAAGTGGGATCTGCTTTCTTATCTGGATGCTGACACAAATGTCATTATACTATGTAAAATATATATTTTTTACTAATGTTCAATATCTTGAAAGCCTAACCGGATTTCCATGACTCTTTGAGGATGATCCAGTCATTTCAGGTTAAACCAGAATATATTTGTGAATATATACTGAATATAAGTATATGTTATACAAGCACAGTTCTAATAAAAGCAACACGTCTTCACATTATGCTGGTAGGCAGCTGGTGGAAGACGAACGGCAGCTTCTGATACAATCACATTGGATGTACGCACACCCGACCTGTCTCCAAAGCAGGTGTGCTTCTAACCATGCTCTACTGCAGAGTGGTTCTTAACCTGGGGTGCGAGATGCCCTGAGCACCAAAGGGATGCAGGCTGCAGTGAAGGTTAAGAACCACTGCTCTACTGCATTGCGTACAAAACAACGAAACTGCTAAGCGGACGCCTGTGCACGATGTCCACTGACTTGGGACAGTCGGCAGTGAGCCGGTCGTCTCTAACTGCCCCGAGTCAGCAAAGCAAGCAGCGCACCTTGCCCCCAGCAGGTGGGTGTCTCACTCCAATCGTGGCCCAGACGCAAAACCAACACATCCACGATGTGCGATTCGCCAACTCCACTTGTACACTGCACACCCTCAAAAAGTCAGTTTAAATATTGCTGTCTCTTATTGGAGTAGTTGAAGAGACTGATGTCGTACGTATGCTCAACGGTGTTTTTGTCGAGGTAGCTGTCACCACGATCGACTTGCGTGGGTTTTTTCGCGGCTGCGCTGCGAAGTGCCTCCGTTGTGTTTTCGGGGTCGCGTCGTTGTCCGACGTTTCGCTCCGCGTGCCAGGAGCTTCTTCGGCACACGGTGCGCAATAACATCGGACACCATGGCGGACTGCACGTGCTACAACCCGGAAAGACACTGGACAGCCATATTGATCTTTTGTAATTCAGCCGCTGTTGCTGCAGAGGCGCAGAAGGCATGGCTCTGGACAGCACGGCAACGGTTCAGATCGGTTAAATTAAAACATGGAAAGAAGAAAAACAAAATGTACACTAAAGCCATGCTTTCTTTAACCTTCCAGGGCTAGGCGCTAGGTTGGTACTGCTCTGCAAAAACCCTGTGGTCTTTATTTCCATAACGCTGCACTGCCGTTTTTATTTGAAAATGTGAACCTCAGTTTGCCATTTTAATAAAATGGAATTGCAATTCAAATCCATCGTGTAATTCATTAAACAAAAACAACAAATCAACTGCCACAGAACTAACCGATAATACAATATAAATATAATTAGCAGTTTGAAATCAGTTTAACAATTAGAATAACGATGCTATAGACCTGGCTTCTCTCCACTTTAGCATATTCACAGCCATTCCCGGCGCTAAAAGGGTTAATGATAATCTGGGTTTCCCGACAGTCATATGGCGGCTAATATTGGCGTGAAATTTAATGTGGCCATTTTGCCTATTCTAACAAAGATGTCCATATTTTTCTTCCACCACTAATTACCATCCACCGCCGCAGTCGAATTGTGGGGGGGGGGGGGGGAGAGTGCGAGGCGATAGCCACTGTTTGGACAGCGGCTATAGGAGTTGGGACCACCACAGTCACGACCCTTATGGCTCCATGCGCCATATTGTGTGGGACTGTAACTGCATTTATAATTCACAGACAGAATCACTGTACGCACGGCAGGATGGTGGTGCATTGATTTTCACATTATATGTACTGTATTATAGTACTCTTAAATACAGCACAGCATCGCATGAGTCATATTTGGAGAGAGGAAAAAAATACTATATTCAGGGGCAGTGGTGGCGTAGCTATTAGGGCACCGTGCTAATGAACCCGGCGGCCTGAGTTCGCCCCACTGGTGAATGCACACGTGTGTATGTACACTACTACTACTATAGGGTGTAATGGGTTCAGTGGGCTTCTGGTAATTAGCGCACTCGCCATTAGGCCAGTTTGCACTAAGTGCACGGTTGAACTCCCTCATTTCCCTGGAAAGTGTTACGGCACAGAATTCGCAACGAGCCGAGGACCCGTGACACCATTCGCAAGAGTCATTTGTGCTGTTGGTCTGACAGCCCCCACAGTTCTTATAAAAATGTGAAATGTGCCTACAGCTAAACAGATTCCAGGAGATCCAGGAGATTGTACAGCCGACACACAGCGTCAAGAACCAGCAACACCAACAGGGCCCAGGCAACGTGAGCTGGTTGCCGGAGAAGCTCCCGGTACGTGGAGCGAAACGTGGGACACGGGGTCCAAGCCGAGAAGCCACCAGAGAGAGCCCTCTGTCTCTGAGGCGGTCACTTTCAGTCATTGCTGGCCTAGCAGAGAAGCCCACCCCCGTACACCCCCTCGGGTGTAAGCCCTCGATGCTGCGGACACGAGAGCTGTGACACTGGCCTATTATCGGACTTGTAATCAGAACAGCAACCGCTTTATTTTGCACGCTATTTCGAGTGCCCCTGTAATTTGTGTTACATCACCACAGCTTTACGGGAAGCCAGTTGGTGACACCGCGCGCGCGTTCGACGGGGCAGCAATGGGGGGGGGGGGCAGCAGTTTTGTGGGGGGGGGGCAGCAGTTTTGTGAGGGGGGGCAGCAGTTTTGTGGGCGTGGCTGCGCCGTGTGCTGGTGGTGCCGCTTCCCGAGATCAAATCTCTGCTGTTTACACAAGTGGCAGATGGCAAAACTACCTGGGGGCAATTTTAGGTCGGCGTACGAGCGGGCTGGTGCAGGGCAAGGGGTGGTGGGTGAAGTGGTGAAGGGGTGCGGCGGTGGTCGAGGAAAGGAGGCTTTTCCGAACGAGGTGATGCAGAGGAGGGGAGGAGGGCAGGCTTAGGAAGGCGGACGGCGGGGATGGGGCGCTGACGTCGCCCGGACGAAACGCGTTCTCAGCTTGTTACAGAAGTTTGCAGTTCGAATCCGACAGGCCACCCTGGTTATTACTGCAGGAGTATTAACCACAATAAGTGGACGTTAAAGATCCCTTCACTTGAAATAAGTAGGCCATTGTGTGCCGGTGCCATGCACCAACTTTGCCGAATATGCATTGCCTGCAAATTACTCAATTGGGATTACACGTCACAATCATTGCTCCCGACTGGCAGACTTACATCCATCTGTGAAACATCGCGCCGTCGAGACAGCCCTGCGCTGTACAAGAATGGCACAAATACCAAATGTACGTTTTTGTTTCATATTGCGTCGTTCAAACTGCATCTCACAATCGACGAGGAACCACAGGCAGGCAGGCAGGTGGTGAGCCAACAATTTCCCAAGCTCTGCAGTTCTCTATATATATAAGATGTTTTCAGCCAATTAATGTGCTTATACATGGAAGAAGAACCCGGGGAAAAGTCACGCGCGCGAGGAGGCAACATCCCACGCACGCAGACGACTTCGCGTTCTGCACTTTGCCGTATCGCATTCTCCATGCAGGCCTGGGTATGGCACCTGGATACTCACGGGAAGAGAGCTGCCACCGCATTTGTGCAATCCACCAACCCTGGCATCCACAGTGCCGGATTACAAGCGTGCGTAGCCACCACCGCTACGCTAAACATATTGAACTGTTGATGTAATTATTCATTAGTATCCGCTGAAACCAGGCCACCTTGCAAACAACGGCTAGGACTCGACGATGCCACCCATATGTGGCCTCTTGTTTAGAATTCAATCGCAGCGGCCATCAGTGGACACGTCAGGCGCACGGCTGGCGGAAAGCGTCTCAAAGTCCGGGGTTGAATGCTGCCACGAGCGGGCACGGAGGGGGGGTGGTAAACAATGCATATTGAAATCAATGACAGAGAGAATTACGTAACTGCCAACCAACACGGGTTGTTGTAGTGTTGTACCACGAGGATCGAATGCGCGCGCTTCACATGCGGTGCTCGAGTGCGATACGGATTCGTGAAGTCACGACTACTTTGAATGATGATTATGATGAAAGTCACCATCGTTACGATACATTTATTCGGTATTACGCAATGTTGTGGCTGCTCTACATTACGTGAATTTTAGCTGTAAGGCAAACAATATTTATTGAATTTAAATACGTGACATGAATATGATGCGTTTCATTACCATTGTATCATAATAAGCATTTATACATAATCATAATAATACATTACATCAATTAGTATTAACACAATATTTATCGAATGACAGACGAAGGCAGAGATGGCACCACGAGATTCTCGAGGCTGTGGGTGGAGCGGCTGCGTGGAGTGGGGGCGGTGTCTGGGGGTTTGAGGTGGAGAAAGAGGGTGGGACACGTGCCAAGGCCCCCTTCTCTCTCACCATCTGTCCACCCCTCGTGGCAGTGAATGTCTGCTGCTGCTGCTGCTCAGTCGGCCCGCGGTTTGGGCTTTGTGTGTTTGTAACACGTGCGGCGCGTCAACGCGGAGCTTAGCTCTCGGCTCCATGCCCTGCCTCTAGGGCCCTGCCCCTCCTCTAGGGCCCTGCCCCGCCTGGAGGGCCCTCCCTGCCTGGATGGCCCTCCCTGCCTGGCGGTCTGCGCACTCTCGGCAGAGCCGCCAATGTTGCACGGCGGTGGTGACGATTCCATCTCCCCCGTCTGCTGCCCCGCGACCCACGTGGTTGCCCTCGGCCCCTCCTCAACAGCACAGTGCGGAATGTTCGGGCCGAAATCCCCCGCTGCGTCGGGAGTGAGAGGCCTGGGATGGATAGTTTTGTTATTTCAATAGGAAAAAATTGCGATGCCAACAGCGGCAGTGTACTCGAGAAGGTCTCACCGAGTCCTCAAGAATAGTTTCATGATGGAGTCATTTGCAGGTGTTTTTTGAGCATTAGGATGTCTAGGCCACCGCCAGCTACAATGCATGGAGTTTTTTTTAGCTATGGGAAGAAACCAGAGAACCCAGAGGAAAGCCGTTCAGAAAAGGGGGAGAAATACTGTCCAGGCAGACTTCGCCGAACGCGAGGGTTACCTTCTTGGACAATGTCGTGTTGGGGAGAACCGGGATCAACAAATAATCGACCTTGTGGGAAACATCGGGTTGGGTTGCTGGGTCCGAAATGATCACCCCCTCATTTAACTAATTCTACAAGCAAAACAACACAAATGAGACGGTGCAAACGATCCAAGAGGAATCCGTTCTTGACATTAACGGACACCTCAAATCATGAAGATCGAAATGTTGAAGAGTGAAACATCATAGGCCGGCCAACGGGCCTGCGACGAGACGCAAGAGAGTTCCCGCCAGCCATGTATCGGTGTCGCTGGCCAAACGGAAAATGAAATATCATTGGGTGGCAGCGGCGCACAAACAACAACAACCACACGACAACATCTGTCAATAAGGCTGTGGCCTTAACAGGAACTATATAAAAGGCAACGTTTCAGGCTTGGTGGCCCTTCAAATGGCACTTTAGAAAGTACGTAAACAAATAACTGTTCCCCCTGCATGTAGGCATCTCTGGGCACAGTTTTTGCTGATGCCACTCAAAGCTCTGATCACACTCGTGCATCACCATACAAGGGGCTATCTTGCTCGTGTGAGAAATCTCTCCGTTGCGGTCTGACAGGTCTCCATCCTAAGCTCGCGCGCTCTCTCCTCCCACTCACAAAATTCATTTCCAGCTTTAACACGGACCAACAATTCTATCAGGGGTAAAACAATGATTCACAAACATCGATTAATATGAATAATTTAGTACGGTGGTGTTGACTCATCTGTATGTTATAACTTTTTTCGCGCCGTACGCAGCCAACCGTGCTAATCGGACTGAGGCATTAGTCCCCTGAGCCACGAAGACACCGGTTTACAAAATACTGCAGTCTTAAAGTTACCGTCGTTCCTATTTTACTTACTCGCAGAGAGGTCTGCATGCATTTCATTGATTTCCTTTTCCATTCACACAAATGTTAACACCTCGATGCACTGCATCCTTCCCCGTGCCCAACGCCTCTCATTTCCCAGGCTTCCCGAGCAAAAGGTACAAGCCCCGGTGGGCTCCCGCCTTGTCCCGAGGAAACCTATCCATCCAAAAAAATACAGGAGCAAAAGACAAAGGAGCAGCCCCGCAATTGCCGGTAGATGCCACAGCTGGCGACAGGGCAGCTCCTTAGAACGTTCCGTCGAGAGTATTTTGGTTTACTCCTCCAAGCCGGTCGGACGTCTTCAAGGAGGTGGGGAGTAGCTACGTGTTACTCCGCCAAACAGGCCCTGTTGTTACAGCAGCCCTTTTGCCCACTTCAGCAATTGTTTCTTGCTGTGGTTGTCCCACCTGATGACGGACGCTTGCGTTGCGCCCGAAACGTCGTGATTTAATTTATTTTGTTTTATACCCACGTGACTTTACCGAAAGAACCAAAGAATATGGATCCCTGCAGTCACGAAAACTTCAAATCTAGATTAGGCCCTGCTGATTGAGGAACTGCGATGTATCTGTTAATACTGCTGGGTGCCACAGAGGCGGGAGAGATTTAAGTAATTGTTTCAGCTGCCGTGCCGGGAGATCGAATCGGCGGCCTCTGCATTGCAAGTCCAGCGTGCTGACCTTTCGTGACACCACGGTCACGTCGAAAAACAGTCGAAGGTACTGAATTTAATATTTTTGAATAGAGGCACAAACTCCTCTTTGAGTCAACCGAACTGCTTTAATATTTCATGTTACAGCTGTATTAAAATTTCACAATTTTTCTAAATGTAGCATTCGAAAAAAATAGATTTCTTTTTTTTCTGCAATGGAAAAATCAAGCGGATGTAAATGTTTAAAAACTCTAACCATTTTGTGGGAAAATGAAAAAAAAAACTGCTTCTTGCAGGAATTGATTCCATCTGAGGAAAATGAGGCTATGGTAAAAAAAAAATGTTTTAGCCACAATTCGAGATTTCCTTTTATAATTCTAGGCAGCCCAAATGAGCGAACATTGGAAAATTCTGGGAATTCAAGGTGACTTGGGTAGGGACACGTGGAATAAATTGAGCTTGGAATTCCCGACGGCAGAAATTTTCCCAGTGCCTCCACAAATTCTCCCGTGGCCATGGAGACAGACTGTAAATGAAGAGGCTGCCTCGTTAAAATACTCGCCACGGCTGCAGTCGCAGTAAATCTCGCTCGAAATGGCAGAGGAAGCGGGAGGGAGTGAGACGGTGAACATTTTTTTCTCCGCTCCATAAAGACAGCCAGAGGAGTGGCTGCATTATAGATATACATTACATCGACAAAGAGTCCGCCAACACCGCCGCCACAGAATGCTAATGCCGTAAGCCCCACGTTTAAACAACACCTCAGCTTTTGTGGATCTTCGTGCACATACCAATGTGTATAAACACAGCACTACATCCATACATACACACACCGTACAGTTTATACAAGGTGGTACAAGAACAGCCCTGCAATTACGCTGCTCATGTCACTGCTGTCAGAAGGACCTCCACTCCGGGTGGCACCTCGAGAGGGAGGACTTGGCCTACTCTTTCACGCTGGCCTCATGTTTTGGAGCTACCCACACTTGACCTCACCTCACGCGACCTGCACTTACAATGCTGGGTGCTGCACAGAGGCAGCAGAATTTAAGAATTGCCCCCCCCCAGTGTTTCAGCTGCCACGCCGGGAGATAGAAGTGCAGCGTGATATCCTCGGCAGCAGCATCCCACACCCCTTTATGTTGAAGGTATATTTGGCGGAGGTTCCGTCAGTGAACACGCGCCTTCAAGAGACAGCAATCTGCTGCGCTGCAAACTCGAATGCACTTGATCGTCACAGGGATTCGTGCCATGTGGACGTTGTCTCGTGTCCACGCACTGTATAATAGCAGGCGGTTACTGTCAATTATGGCTTTGTGCCACATTGGCCGGGGGGGAGCCCTCTTTGCTCAACACAGGGGGCTTCTAACCCCAAGCACTGTACCCTTGGAGCACAATTACACATTTCCCCTAATTTAATAAGTTTGGCAACATTTCAAAACTTCAATACAAAACATCTCAAAATGGCCCCGGACTTGCTTTTAACATCCAGGGTCTCTGACACGAGGAGCCACTCTTCCCAATCCTCCGTAGAAATGACTGCGCGCGGCCGTGAGAGTTCAACATTGAAACCTTTGTAAAACTGACTTCACGGTAATCCATGTGGCCAGGTTGAACTCAATCTGTATAATTTGGGGTGGGGGGGCTGGTGCTGCTGCAAAGGAGGTCGCCGGTGCGATTCCATCTCCCGTGCGCACGGCAGTTAAGACAAATGGGCAAGGTTCTTAAATCCCCCCGTGTCTCTGTCTCCTCGACAGTGCAAAGGGGAACAGCGCAGTGAGTCGATGGACAGGTCGCGTGTCGTGGACCCAAGAGTGAGGTACTGCACTCCCACCTCTTCCAGGACATCTGGCCAGCAGGACGAGTAGGCCAAATACAATCATAGACGGGCTTGGAAGAATTCACTCGAGTGAAGGCTCTTCTGGCAGCAGTTGTATGAGCAGGCAATTGCAGGTCTGCGCCTTCATCTTACAGGGATAACTTTACTCGCAATTACGCCTCTAGAACGCTGAGAGATATTTTCAGCTCAAGGGAACTTTCCTGTTGTGAATCTGGGCCATAACATTAACAAGCCGCCTACAGCGCGGGGTCATCATCATCATCCCACTTTACACAGGACGGAACGCTTGGGCTCGCTAACACGAGTGGGCCCTAGCAGCAGCGGCAGGAGCAGGAATCGAACGGTCGCCTCTGCCACACCCAGCGTCCGAGGGGCAGACTCAAGTGACCCACAGTCTAGCGGGCTACAATTGTTTTCATATATATATTTTTTTAAAGTATTTTTTTTAAGTAAAAGAAATATATGAAAAATACAAAACTGGGACATTTGAAAACGCCGGCATGCACAGGGGACACATTGACCAGTAACAACGTGCAAAATTGGGAAGGCTACTGCGGGACTGGATGGCTATTTTCAAATGAAATTCTGTAAGGCCAGCAAATATACGCAGTGTATTGTATATATATGTCACTGTCTTAGAAACACAACACCATGGTGTAAAAACGATGTATTTGTGCACTTTATATGCAATTCCCATCTCTTCACGGTCATGGCAGGAAGGCCCTTTTGACCCCAGATTTGCATACAGGCCAGGCACATGACACATTTTTACTAAAATATAAAAAAAACGGAATAGTCAAACTTGTGAACAGTTACAGTGCAAATCTATGCCGTTTGCATATACGTATATTGTGTCGTCGTTTAGAAACCAGCCCCATAGCGGAGGAATGACGCTAGTTTTATTTGTCTCAGGTCAGGGCCGATGAACACCTCCGATTAGCGTGGTCAGCTAGGTACGGTGCGAAAGAGGTTCAACATTCACACGTACAGACCAAGTCACCCGTCACGCGCTGACCTCAATGGACCTGGGAAGCTAAGCGGGTTTCAAGCCTGGACCGCGCTCGGATGGGCAACCGCCATGCACGGGACACGGGCGGCAGAGGGCAGTGCAGAAAATTCCCACCGCTGTTCCACCCCCCCATCCCTTGACCAACCCGCACTGACCGGCGTGGTGAAGCACGGTTAAATAGCCCTCACGGCCAGCAAGGCGTGACCTCGGCCCTCATCTCACAGTGGACTGACAAAGCGAGCTCTGAGGGTTGCCACACTATACCGTGAGGGTCTTTCCTCCCCATTCCGCCTGGCCTCGGTGGCCTGTACGGGAGGCTCTGTGGAAGCGGGTGGGCCCCAGGGTGGGGATGAAGATGATCAGAGTTTCACCGGAAATTTACGAGCCGTGGCCAGTGATGTGAGTGTGCTCAGCGGCTGTGGAGACCCCGACCCATTCTTAGGTATCATCGCGAGTCCAAATCGCGAGCCCGAATCGCGACGATTCATTGACTTGACAGGCGCAGGGAATGCAATTGTTGTTGACCTGTATCTCGACGATATTTTTCGTTAAGTTTTCATTTCCTGCTCTTGCTAATTATGTCACTTAGACTTTAATGTCCACTTTGTGCTCTGGTAATGCACCACAACATTGCAGCGACACTTAAAAGAGATTAAGCATTAATCACACGGCTTTCCTCTTAAATGCACGCGTTTTTGCAATTATTATTCTCTCAAAAGTTCCACAAACAAACCCATCGGGGAATTGCACGAATGGGACGTGATGCCGGGGAAGCCGTTAGGTCTCCAAAAGGTCTCCCTCCATAATCCCGTCGTAACATTCAGCCTCCAACAAAGCATCCGGGGAGCCTGCCGACCAGCGCCGTATCGGCTCTGGGTCCACGCCTCACCGCATCCACAAAGTTTAGTTCCCGCAGCCACAGCTACATAAAGCCACTGGCCCCAAAAATAGCTTAGTGGATACCATCCAGACTGTCAGATGCTAACGGTGATTTTCTTGAAGCATTTTGACCTCTAGATCACCAACGTGTACGATAGCAAGGTCACGATGGTAGCGGTTTATCGTGGTGGGGGGGCGGGGGCAAAAGGCTGTTATGGAAAATCACCGCGTTACGTTTGACAAGAGAATACCGTTCTGGGAACAGAAAATGGAATATGAAAATGAAAATAAAAATGAGGTCCTTATATAAAGCAGAGTTTACATTCACGGGACTTTCTGTAAATGGTGTATACTCGATTTAAAGCTTTCGTGACTGCAGGGATTCAGCTTGTTGGTTCTTTCGGTAAAGTCACGTAGAAGGTAAATAATAAAATAATAATAATAAAACATAATAAACTACAATTCTCACGATGTTTCGGCCACAACGCAAGCAGCCATCCTCAGGTGAAGAACAGGTTTGTCGGAAAGACAGCGTCTGAGGACGGCTGCTTGCGTTGTGGCCGAAACGTCGTGAGAATTGTATTTTATTATGTTTTATTTTTATTATTTTATTATTTCCCTTCTACGTTACTTGACCGAAAGAACCAAGAAGATGGTGTATACTCGTAGCATTTGCCACCCCAGGTAGTCCCGGTGGCTGCCACTGTCTAACAAATGGTAAACAGCCCACGATGTCCGTGAGTTGAAAATGAAGCCACGCTGTGCAGGCGTCACCGCCCAGAGGTCACAACTGCCAATGCCGTTGCTGCTCCGACAGCTCACAATCACTTTCTGCCATCCGTCAGATCAGCCACAAGGCGTTTGATGGGATACGAGCTTTACTACCCGGCTTCGCATGGGGCTTGGATTCACCACGCCCGGCCGCCTTTGTCTCCCCAGTGGCGATGTTCACACACCACACCAGTTACTCGTTTGAGGCTGAGTCGACCGAGGGGAGGCCCAGGACCGGTTAAAATAATCGTCACCGGTGGTGGCCGTGAGCGGGAATCGAACTCGGGTCGCCGGGTTCGTAGCGCAGCGTGCTAAGCACGACGCATGCGCGGGTCACATGACAGATGTGACGTCACAGCTCACTTGCCGTGCAAAAAATATGCATTATTGCGCCCCCCCCCCCCCCCCAAAATATCAAAGTCTATTTGAATAATGTTTGCATGGTGTACAGTCTGGAAAGTACCCACATGGCAAATTTCAAGTTTGTTGCATGTCCGGAAGTACGCTAAACATTTTGAAAAAACACACATAATCACACATTTCCCTTTTATATATAGATAGTAAATAATGCAATTATAATAATAATGTACGGCCCTTTATCAATCCAATGCTGCATCGAGGCGTCCCCACGCCAAGCGGAATCGTCACCCCGAGTTGCAACGGTTCGTCGAGTCGCGAGTGGGGGGAGGACAATCGTTACTGGCAGGCCACATGCAGCATCGTCAGGTTGTAGAGTGGCAGTGGCGGTGGTGACACTGGACATGGCCTGAAATCCAGCACTGTGCATCGCCGCACAAACGTCGTGAAACTCCTTTCCCGTGGGCATCGAGGTGCCGTACCCTGGCTCGCCGGAAGCAGGCAGGACAGCAAAGTGGACTAATCACCATCTGTTTCTAGCTGTACAGGGAGAGTGGTGACAACCTCGGGAAATGCGTGGGGTTTTCTCCGGTTTCCCCGACTGTAGCCGGGTGTCTATGGTGTCACCAGGCCCCCATAGAAAATATACGTCTATTGCCCAATGGGTTTTACTTGAGCCAAAATAAAACCTAAGCTAACCTATATTATTCAAAAAATAAAATGTATACATTATTTAGTATTAATGCAAAAAAACATTTACAGTCCATAATAAATTAATTCAATTAGATGTGTATGTGCTCTTTCATAATGCTTTATTCATTTGTAAAATACAATATTTATCCATATTTTTTTCACAGCATTCTGTACGGATTATTCTGGTCTAGTTGAGTTTTAATAATCCATTGGGTGTCTTGCATGCCACCAGGCAGGGAGCCTCATTACATGCTAATGCTTCCGGGCCTTCGGAAATAAGGTTGTGGGAAGGTTTGGAGTGAGGGGTTTTGAGTGGGTGGTGGTGAGCGACGTGGAGATGAGGAGGGGAGACGGAGGAACGAGGTGGGGGGGGGGGTTCCTAAGATCTGCGCACAAGAAGTGTGTGTGGCGTTGTACAAGGGGATGCCAACCCTACGGGAATACCGGATTCTCGTCGATTAAACATCAATGTATGGACTGTAATGTATAATTGAGCACTCTCTCGTGCTCGGTTCCTCGAGACCCTACGAGCCACACCCGGCACGACGATGACGTCATGAAGCCCAGCCCATCACCTCCCGTTCAGCAGCACGTGTGGGAACGGAGGGATGACATCCTTTTTTACGACTATTTTCGTACAATCCGATAAATCGGGTCATCGGACCGATAATCGAGAGAGTCATCGATTACTAGAAAGTAACACAACTCTATTGACCATTTTGTGCAGGAGGCCGCAAGTGCTGACGGTGTTCCTGGGCCAAACCCCGTCTGGTGCACAGCAAGAGGACTGAAATCCAGAATCCTTTTTCAGAGATTCTCCAAAGGCCAAGGGTAAAAGCTGTGGCTGGCCACATTGAAGGCCGCAATGTTTGCTGGGCATGAGATGTCGCCTCTCCTCTGTTGGGAGCTGGACCGGTGGCGCCTGGACCTTGGATGAACACAGGGAGGACCGCCTCTGGCGTCTGGCATAGAGAGGGATCAGCAGTTATTCACTCGGGCAGGATAAAAAAACTCTACACATTTCCTTGAAGGAAAAAAAATATGTAACAAGCGACGCTTCGGGCAATGTCCCTTCTTCATAGCACACAAGACAACACGGAGTGGCTCTCTTATTTAAAACAAAAATGGAAGAGGCCATGGGAGCATGACAGTGAAGGTGTGTGAGAATTTGGGTGTCCACCTGCTCTGCAAGGTGATGGTTTTTATTCCGTGCAATCATTGGTGCCTGCGCTGAGATCGCAAACTCATTGCACTTGAGAGGCGGGTTGGATCACTCGTGGCTGGTTCCATTCTCATAAACTACAACATCTATTGCCTGCGAAAGAGGAAGCGTTGTGACCTTTGCCCTAAGATGAAAAGAGCCACTCAGGGCTGCAAGGGTGAGTGGTGATCTTGGGTTGTGGACGATATGGAAAGTGCTTAAGCGGCCCATGACCACAAAACACTTTTACACCATCAACAAGTCGCTTACAGCACTAACCCTATTGCCTACATGAAGGAGAAGAATTGTGATACAATCTCCGATCCCTCGGGTCAGGTTTGCAGATTTGCGAGGTATGTCTGAGGTCCCTGGGGGAGGGGGGATCACACCCTGCCAAAACAACATCGCGGGGCAACAGGGAGGTGACCTTTTCGAAGGTTGTGGAGCCTGAAAGGTTGGAAAAAGCAGCCACATCCTGTACACCGCTGACTGATGCTTCCTCTGCCAGCGTGGTACAGAGGGAGGTTTATGCCCCGAGATCAGGAAAGTAGCAGGGCAAGGATGATCTCTCCAGTGAGATGCTGAGGAAGGGTGGAGATTCTGTGCCGAGTGCGTTCAACGGAATGAAATCGCAACTGCTTGGACCACAGGTTACGTTCCATAGCACTGGAGAAGATTACCCTGAGCGGCACAGATTGCTACAAGTAGCAGGGCACCCCCCTCCTCAACGTGATTTTAAATGCCCTGGGAAAGATTAACGTAATTTTGCCAAGCATGGTGAACCTCTTCTTGGTTCTTTCGGTAAAGTCACGTAGAAGGGAAATAATAAAATAAGAAAAATAAAACATAATCAAATACAATTCTCACGACGTTTCGGCCACAACGCAAGCAGCCGTCCTCAGGTGAAGAACAGGGCTGTCAGAAAGACAGCGTCATTCGGACAGGGCTGTCGGAAAGACAGTGTCATTCGGACGCTGTCTTTCCGACCGACCTGGTCTTCACCTGAGGACGGCTGCTTGCGTTGTGGCCGAAACGTCGTGAGAATTGTATTTTATTACGTCTATTTTATTATTTTATTACTTCCCTTCTACGTTACTTTACCGAAAAAACCAAGAAGATGAATCCCTGCAGTCACGAAAGCTTTAAATCGAAATGATGAACCTCATTGTGAGTTTATGCTAAATTGTTCTTGGATGGAGACATCATATTCTCTGTTGTTCTACTTCAGTAGATGTTAAGATATACTATCAATGGGAAGCACACCTCTGCTCCATAGACCAGGTAAACACCTTTAACATCATCAAGAGGCCAGGGATTCGGATCACTCCTCATGCCTTTGGGGTCCCTGACTCCCCACTCAGTAGCCCTGTCTGGAATGTGAACTCACAACTTTCAAAATAAGCCTCAAATAGGGCAGCAGGTTGGCTCAGGTGACCAATGCCCATGTCGGTGCGCCGTGTCAGAACGACTTGAGACCACAGATCATATCTCGGGCGGATCATGTCTCAGATTATGGCCTCCGTTCGGTCACCGATGACTGCACACGAGAGAGCATTTTTAAAACTTGTCTGTTTTTGTTTCTTCTCTCACTCACAGTTGCAAAGTGCAGCCGAGGGCGCTGCCAGGCTGAGGGCGGCGGTTGGCAAGACAACGCCCTGGCAAAGAGGTGAAAGGGAACTCTGGTCTGTGTGGAGGATGGGGACGAGAGAGCCACTCTGAAACGATCAGAAGGTGCCTTGCGATGCTTCCCTGGTGAAGCTGATTCTCTGCTGCCATCGACCATGATCAATCCGCTGCTGGATGAAGGCGTCCGCAAGATATCGCCGTCTCTCATGATAACGTCGCAACCCACCAAGAAGCTGCACGCGAGATAGTTTCATCGCTCCGTCTTCTCGGTGGACGTTCTCTTAGACGCCCTCCGTATCTTGGATGTCACTCCACCGTCCCTTCTCGCGACGATTCCTGCCCAAGTCCGCTTAGTTTTTGTAAACAAAAACATTTACGTCTTAACTTGCTTATGTCATGTTCCTTTTTCTGTCTCTGTGTAATCCACTTTTTATTCTATTATATTGTTAAGGAATACATTTCTGAACCATGTGTCACAGCACGTATTACGCACCGATTAAAAAAAAACGTTCTTCTTGAGGCACATTGCTGCGTTCCGTTTCATTGCCAAGTCGAGTTTTACAAATGCAATCCAACCTCTTCATCTCATCGTTTTGATTCCGGCCGCCCACTAGCACACTCGTCTGCGCTATCCAGGTGTGTCACTCTGACAGATATCTAAAAAAATTGTTGCGGATTTATTATTCGTGACCTTTGTTTTGCCCACATTTATCGTTGCAGCTTTCTACATGAGGTTCTCCTAACATATCCTGCAGTTCATTTCAAATTGGACGTGATAATGACTGTGCCATCAGCACCAGTCATTATACCATCCGCTGCCAGTCGGGGGTCCGAAATGGACACTTTTTTCCACGTGACCTCACAACCGACAGGGAACAATTGAGATATAATTGGTGGTTAAAAGAAAAGCCCGTCTGGAAGGCCCAGGGGATAGTGCCTTTGTCGCACCACCGAAGCATCTCTGCTGAGACCCCCGCATAATACAAGTGCAGGCGACCACCTGAGGGACGAGGCCACTCACTCGCAAGCACAGCCGACGACGCTTTGAGCCTGGTTACCAATGGCAACACGACTGCCCTCGTCACACGCATCACCTATCATGTTCACTTAGCGAATGCAGAGCGGCACGCCGGCCGACGGAGGGAAAGCCCCGAGGAGGAGCTCCGCCGGGGGGAGATGGAGCGGTGAGATCGGAGCTGTGTGCAGCTGCTCGGCGAATCGTTGCGCTGCGGGGCGGCGAAGGATGGCCATGGATTGGGGAGGATTTCAACCAGCAGTGGAATGATGGTGGCTGATGATGATAATGGTGAATTCAAATTATCTCTACTCTGGGGGATACATTCACATTTTTTTAAAACACGTATATGGTCCTATCGTTTTTAACGAAAAAAAGAATGGATACTACACTGTAACATCATAACAAATGTGATGTTAATAGCTTCAAAAAGGCAAAAAGTCTCCACTTGTTCACCATCGTTGTCAACACCTTGCCTGGAATCTTCTCCAGGTGGCCTCCAGAGCCCGGAGGCACATTGCTTGTGGTATTGTTGCAAATTCTCAGAAGTGTTCACATTTTTTTTAAAGTACCCTGTATTGACTGATTCGCATGCAGAAAGCGATGTTTTACACAGCTCGAAAGAAGATTATCTCGTGAGTGATAAGATTGGCCTACCAAAGCAGTTTAGACTCAGACTTGAATTCATCTGGTTAAGGCCTGTTGAGCTAAAGTCTCCCAAGTGTAGTGTCGCTATCAGGGCCACCTCCTGAAGTGGTGTGATTGTTGACCACGAGTTTGAGGGGGATGTTTCTTCACCTCACAGTTTGACAACCACGTGACCACCACATGGCACGTACAATGCTCGAAGCCTTGTCTAGAATACCAGCTCACAATAGACGTATGTTCAGTACGTGTGGATGTATTATTGTTTCAAACCACCAAACTCATAAGCAGTTTAAAACGTGGCCATCCCATCAGGCAGCAGTGCAACAAAGCAATGTGTTGTTCACATGACATGCTGCAAGGCATGATGGGAGTCTTGCCTTCCTGCTGTTTGTGACCAGCACACCTACGCGTGTTGTTACGTTTATAAATACAAAGTCCACCTCCTTTAGCGGAGATTGAATGTCAGGGCAAGTGCTGGTAACGAGAACCCATAAATGTGGGTACAATGCAGGGAAGTGACGAAGCTAGCACCACGCATTCCCACCTGCCTTTGCCTCCCCACTGCTGACGTGCGCAATGCCACACCAAATACTCGCTCGAGTCGACCAAGGGGTGGCCCCGGTCAAATTCAGTTGACACGAATTTGCACGAGCAGGAAGTGAGCCCAGGTCACCGAGATAATAACAGAGTGCACTAACCAGAGCCTGTCGCTTGTACGCACAGTAATATGGTAACAGCGTATCCTATATTATTCATCCGTGTCCATATAGAGCCGCATGTCCACACATCAGGTTTCAGCAAGCACCCACCCATGGGCCCGTGGCTTCCGTGCGGATTACGATGTCCCTGCGAGACTCAACGGCTCCATTAGCACCTTCGGGATGTGGGGCGAGCGAGAGTGTGCGCGCTGGTGGATTGAGCGAGTATCGAACGGAGAGGGGAGCGGCCGTCAGAGAGGGAGAGAACGGGGACTGTGCGAAGGAGGCCGTTGCGATTGTGGGTGATGGGGTCAGTGAGCAGCGGTGGGAGCGAGTAACGTGCTGGGTGTGGGGTTGGTGTTCATTTTGCTGCAGTGAAAGCGAGAAAGGGTGGGATGCGGGACGGAATGTCGGGCAGCCGCGTGTCCGGCTTTGACCCGGACACAGTCCGAGAATCGGCATCTGTGCTCTGGTGGCACGGACTGATTTGTGCCAAGATATGGTACCAGTATCGTGTTGAACTCTGTTAAAAGTGTACCGGCCAGTTTTAATGCCCGAGTTTGTTGTGGAAAAGGTGGCAAGCCGAATGGAATGAGAGTCCAAGACTGCAAGGAGTTTGTATTGTTAGGTGGTTGTATGGAGTAGGATTGGACGGTACAATGTTACATATCTGACTCGCTGGGAACCGAGGGTATGAGTGTGGTCGGATACATGAATATCGATAGAAAAGTGTATGGGCGGTGAATGGATCGCGGAAGATATGTCATGGTTATATATGCGACATTGTCCTGTATATATGCGAGTTAAACACGTAGGATTTCGCGACCGATATTATGTATATACGTGTGTAGGTAGCAGTGGCGCACAAGTTAGCACATTCCACTACGATCCCAGGAACTCAGGTTTGATATCCGGTCGTACACACCAACAACAGGTAGCATCTGAACCAGGCCCCTGTCTCCATTGGAGTGCATATGTCTTGGATAGTTATCGAATGTAGGCTGGGATCAACCATATGATAATGGATTTGTATTGATATAGATTTCCAGGGAGGAGAAGCTAACCACTTAGAAGCGAGAGTGGTTTAAAACAAGGCCTCTCTCCCACCTGAAGACGATTGCTTGTGTGGCGATCGAAACGTCGTGTTCGTTTATTACTTTTTCTACCTACGTGACTTTTCCGAAAGAACCCAAGAGTATGAGTAAGGCCTGGTATTCACGTATATATTTTACAACCCATTCTGTTCAATGTCAGGCTCAACTTTCGCTCAGCCCACAGCTAAGTGACACCACCCTGAGGTGGCAGGTCTGCCGCTTGCTGCAGAGGTTCAGGGTTCGAATCCAGCGGCCGCTCTGATTAACACCACCACTTTCAATAACCCCACTCTTTATTTTAACCACTATCATCTTAGTGTACAACTTAATGATTGTAAATCGTCTTGGCCTAAGGCGCTGTTTTAATCTATACAAGATGAGATATTAACCAAAAACGCAGCGTGCCGTCTGTTTCGCAAAAGTAGGGCACTGTGTGCCGGAGTCATGGTCCAAATGTTCCGTATTTGAAAAATTACCTGCGGATGATGTACTCAATTTGGATTATGAAATCACAAGTATTCCCCCCACTGGCAGCCCACAGGGCTTCAGCAATCGTTGGTGGGCCCGGTGACTGGGCGCCTTCCAGCCTTGTTCGTGGTGTCCTGCCCAAACGAGCAATTCGGCCTCAATGGCAGCCTCTCCTTCATCAACTTTCAGATGTTCTGCTAAGTCACGATGTGAGTCTCCTATACCTTTATCACGGGGATCCGTAGGAAGTGATAATGTGGGAATAATAAATTAATAAATACATAAATGTTTAATGCCCGCACAGATGTTTGCCCAACTCCAAATGGCAGAGGACATGTTGTAGCGGCAGCAATGTGTATAATGCAGCAGCTTGAGAAGAGGTTAAAAGAACTAATGTGTTTTCAGGGTGAATTATTTTACGGATCCCATAAACCACTTTGGAAAAGTAGAGACGTCAGTGTCCGTGTTAAAAGATGGATGCTTGCAGCAGGAGCTGTGTCTGTGTTGCTGTGTGCATCAGACAAATAGACCCGAACAAAGTAACTCGAAAAAAGCACCTTCTGGCATTCAATACAGGAGCAGCACAAAGCACATGGCAACTTGAAAGTAGTGCAGAACGGAGCCTGGCAATGAAGTGCTGCAGATGCATTCCAGAAGATGAGGATGCAATGGTTGGGCACGTCGGCAGGATGGAGGAGGTTAAGTGAACTCAGGCTGGCACTGGAGAGGTACCCAGAGCTTGGAAGCCAAAAGCAGACTTAAATCCAGATAGTGCGATAGTGTAAAAGCAGATCTTGGAGGCTGAGTATCAACTGTGCAACATCAACCGGACAACAGTTAATGGATCTGAAGCAAAAGAAAGCAATGTTGAGGTTGTGACGGAATTGACAACATCAAGATTGAAGCAATATGTACACGCAAACCCTCTGTTGGGCTTTCAAAGCACAGTATTTAATTATTTTGGTGGCCTGGATCATTCCTGCGAATGAGAATATCCTGGTCTCTTGACTTCTCAACTGGGTTAAACAAAATAGAATGACAGTATTTGTGTCTCTCCCAGAACATTGTTTTGTCTCGCTTTCAGTTCAGCGTTTGTTACTCGACTTGGCTTGCTCACGTATGTATTGCTTTGCTTCGTGAGAGATCCTAACCGCTTGGAGGATGATACGGTGCCTCCTTGTACCACAAGCAGTGCCCCCCCCGCCCCCCACTTTAATCGGCCCGGCAACACGGAACCAGGCAGAGATTGGTGAAGCAATTGATCTGAAAAACAGGGGGCTTCCTTCTGTGTGCACAAAGATTTAACCCCATAACCCAGGCTACCCTCATTTACCCAATTAAAGTGTTAAATACACAATTCAATACGCAAACAGTTAAACAATCTTCCCACCATTTTAACCACTGCTAAAATACTTTCGCTTAATATTTAAATTACTACAGGCTCGCCTTCTAGCTATATTGCAGCCATTTCATAAAAAGACTATCTATTGCCGTAATAATGCTATTGGTTTTTTTGCTAAACTCTATGCCAATCGTGATATTGAGGCACAGAATAGGAGAATTAGAAAATGCTAAGAATTACTTTTCAGG